CAAGAAATAATGCGCTCCACTCAAGGAAGCAGTCTTATAACCCCCCTATATGTCAATATGGATAAGATCAAAAATAGATGTAGTTTTAATTGTGCTTGACAAGAAGGGTTCACGGGTCTGCTTTGCTCGTGAACAAGAATGACAAGGACTAGAGCTCGAAGGCAAAGTGAAAGATAAAAGCCGACTAATATGGAAGAACTTGTCCGAGGAGGGATGCCCAAGGCGAGCATGCCAAATAACGTCAGAAACCGAACTCCTTCGCTGTATTGCGCAAGCTTGCGTCCGACCCTGTCCAAACAAGCGCAAATAGTACAGGCCATCTCGCAATTCACCCTTCCCAATCAGCTTCTTCGAGCGTAAGTCCTGAATTACGCAAAAATTGTCAAGAAATATTAAAGCAACATGATTATCCTTTGTCAAACGACTCACCGAAACGAGATTACACCGAAATTCAGGGACGTGTAAAACACGGCCCAAGACGAAATCAGATCATAGCTCGACTGACCCAATGTGCTTCACAGGGATGTTGTCACCATTAGGTATACGAACTGGTGGATCATTAATGGGAATTTCCTTTTTTGACAGTAAAGACTCATCCATGGTTATGTGCTCATTGCACCCAGAATCCAATAACCACTGAGAATCGTAAGAGATTATACCTGCCATGTGTGATGCGGGGTCGTCAACTGTGCGGCTAGACGCACCAAAGTACTGTTTGAGCTGCTCCAGTTGAGCGAGAGTAAACCCATCAACGGGGCTTTGTTCAGCTTCAACCTGAGAGGCTTTGGGCTCTCGGTTTCTATCATTACTGGAGGTCCGCGACTCCTTGCGAGGTCGATGTGTCTTTTCTCCTTGCTGGTCACGCGGGGGATAGCCTATTAATTGAAAACAAGACTCACGCGTGTGTCCTGTGCGGCGACAGTGAGTGCACTGAACCTTCTCCTTCTGCTCCCCCGTGCCGCGATCAGCGCGATCCCCTTCTCCTCGCACAACGAACGCAGCCGCCTCTGGCTGAACCTTGCGATTTTGAGACACTGATTTTTGCTGCTCGTCATTGAGCACCATATGAAAGGCCTCGGTCAGCGTTGGAGTGGGTTTGGTCGTCAATATTTGTGTACGAACAGCGCCAAACACCCCATCCAGGCCCCTAAGAAAGTCGAACAACCTGGCGCTATCTTGTTGCGCACGTACCCTTCGAGTGACGTCACAAGTGCACAGGCCACAAGTGCAATGCGGCAAAGGATCGATTGCGGAAGCTTCTTCCCAGAGGGATCGAAGATGGGTGCAGAAGGTCGACATGGTCTGCTTCTCTTTCTGAAGAAGACTGATCAGCCGACGTAACTCGTACGCACGAGAAGCACTGCCTTGGTCGAACCACTGCTGTAGATCGGCCCATATCTCGCTCGCGTGTTCCGCAAAAGGGATGTTGCTCCTGATCTCTTTATCCATGGAGGTTTTCAGCCAATCTTTCTCCATGGCGTCGCAACGAATCCAAGCACTCCTCTCATGCGGATCGATGGGTTTTGCGATGCTACCATCAACGAACCCATACTTGTTCTTCGCAATGAGTGCGTCCTTCATGTCAAGGACCCACTCGCCATAATTAGTCGCCGTGAGAAGATCGCCGACCAGCATGTTTCCCGGACCATCCGAGTTGGACGATTGATAGACCGAAGGAAAGACATCTTCGGTTTTGACGGAGCCGCCGCCGATCTGAGTCTCTTTATCTTTACTCATGATCGGAAGGGATTACAAGAAACAAATCGCTGGAGCTTAAAGCTCTGATACCATGTAAAATATGATCAAAGGAGACAAGAGATTTAACGTGGTTCTTCCTCACAGGGTGTGAGGCTTACATCCACGGGAGAAGGATTATCTTTTATTGATCTGTGTTACACGGCTGCAAGCAGCCTTACATGTATTTATACCCTTTACATAATCTTCTACTAGGGTTGAGAGAACCGAAAATTGGTTCCTTATAGAACAAGGAGACGACGTCGACAATATGGCTGCATGGGCTGACATGGTGGACTGCTCCATGCATGGTTCTTATGGGGCTGCAGACTATGGTCTTGGCCCAATAGAGCCACTTGGAGAGGAGGGGTGCTGGCACGCCCCTTGCTTTGGGGAAAAAATTCACTAGTAGGGGTATATACAAATTCGAATCTGTGACCATTTAGTTGCAAGAAGAATTCTTTACCATCCAGACCCAGTGAGTTTTGTTATGCAATGCACTTTCGTCTTTATTTATAGTAATAAATTGTTGTGTTTTGTTTAAACTTGCTCATTTCTTTTGTAGCTCTATAGCTAAGAAGTTTCTTGTCTTTTGTTTAAACAAAGCTGAAAGTGAATAAGTACCAATTGAAGTTCACTTGTTTGTTTCACAATATCAATTCCAATGTACTTCTGAGTTCTAATTTGTAATATTTGATGAATGGAAGTCTTGACTTGTATGTACTGATGTTATTTGTTTGACGTTGTAACCGGTGCACGTGAAACTATTTTTATGTAATTGTATGAATTTAGAGTATTATGTTGTTGACTTTTTGTTTCATTTAGAGTTGACTTTTCTATTATATAGGTGATTTTTTTTTATATGATAAAGACACCCCTTGGCCAATTTTCTGGCTCCACCACTGCACCTGGCCTTGGCCATTAGGTAGCTAACTGATGTCACCGCTTAGAATTGTATTCCGCTGTTGCATAGATCAAGAAACAAAGAGAGAAACCTTTTGGTGAAGCAGCAAAGCCTCCAAGTTCTGACCCTGTTCATGTAGTCTGCTTTCTAGCTCCTTAATCTAGCAAAACACGTGAATTAAAAGTAGTAGCAAAACCCCGCTTGTTATCACTATGTGTATCAGAAAAATAAATACTTTAAAGAGTAATAATTTTAATGTTGACCAAAAAGTGTAATCTTATTTCATTCTTAATTATTCTTTTTATAGGTTCGTTATTTTACATTAGCATGTGGTCGATGAACTTGCATAATGTAGAAGGGTCGTCGAATAGATTATTCATGTTTAAACTTCTCTCACGACGCTATTGTTTCAATTTGTATGGCTAGTGGTTGATCCTGCAGTAATTTTTGCAGAATGAAGCATCTTTTTTGTATCTTTTTAAGAAGTTTGAAAAGAAAACAATTGAGTGTTTAGCTGAAAAACTATTAGAGTTACTTTCTAATGTAAGAGGCCATGTAAAATGATTAAAAAAGATTTCTAACATAAAATATGAATACAAATTTGAAAAGTAAAAAATTATTCAAAATGGATAGTGTTAGATTTATTTCATATGAAATAATACTATTTTTCAATTTATTTTTTGTAATTATACAAATGAAAGAAAATTATTTTTTTAGAAAAAGAATAATATATGGTAAGTACAATTTTGTATTTTCAAATTGGAGCTTCTCCTTTTAAGTTATGAAAAACATCAGCTTTTTAAAAAGCGAAACTTTAGAAAAATAGTCATACTCTTTTGGCTTTTTTTTGGGTTTGAGGTAATCGTGGTTCTCCTTTATGAAATTTTAGGACTGATTGCAGGTTTGAGGAGATTCAACTCGCATAGATCGGTTCAAATTAGATTGGATGCCCATGGATTTATGTTCAATTGTCTTTCGTAAACAAAAGGAAAAGGCCAAATGAAAACACTAAAGCTAAAACTCGCTACCGACTCAAAAGCCGTCAACACCAGGTTAAGCTCGCTTTGACCTGGTTGAACCGAGTTTTGAGAAAATTCACACCTGACACAATCCGTCAATTATAACAACAGATAAAACTCGCTCCCACCGAAAATTTGTAAACCTCGGGTTCAAGTCGCTTTGCCCGGGTCGAATTATGTTGGATACTCATGCATTTGGAGTCAATTGTCATTCTCAACCAAAAGGAAAAAGATTAAAATAATACTAAAGTGGATAAAACTCACTCACGACCCTAAACTTCCAACATTGCGTTCAACTCGCTTTGACCGGGTCGACCCAGTTTTAACAATTCACAAGTTACCCAATCTGTCAATTACAAAAGCGGATAAAACTCGTTCTCGATACGAAACTCGTCGACAATTGGTTAGAGTTCAATTGTCATTCTCAATGGAACGAAAAATGAGAAATAAAAAAAATATTAAAGCGGGTACAAAACTCGCTTTCGACCTAAAACTGGTCAACAATGTGTTCAACTCGCTCACAATACAACACTCGTTAATATCTTAGATCCAGGTTCAATTGTCTTCCCAACCAAAAGAAAAAAAGACAAATTCATAAATAATAAAGTTAGTTTCAAGTCGATTTGACCGAGTCGAATTAGGTTGGATAATGGAACCCATGAATTTGGGTTCAATTGTGCTCATGCTCAACAAAAAGGAAAAAGTGAAAGAAAAAACACTAAAGCGGAAAAAACTCGGTCCCGATACAAAACTCGCCAACATTGAGCAGATTTGGTATGAATTTTCGGTAGCGGCATTGGGAAACGGTGGCTGAGGACAGTGTTTTGAGAAGGTTGTGAATTGGTGAGCGATGTCGAGGACTGGACAAAGCATATCTAGTATGGATCTTTGGTCGCGGTCATGGCAAACGGTGGAAGAGGTGGCATCTCAAGTTATTATCATTGGTAATCTTTAATTTGACGAATTGAAGGCTGAGAGACGACTAATACTAGTGTTTGCTTTTTGGTGTTATGAAAATAACAAGTGATTAGGTGAGAAACAAGAGTGACTTAAATTGGAATGTCAAAATTGAGTTGGATGGAGACTTCTAAGTTGTGAAATAGTGATGAATGATCTATGTATAATAAAATGACACTCTTGGTGGTTGATGATCGTGTAGTAGTAAATGAGAGAGTCTAGCTGAAAGGATAAAATACATACTAGCTTAGATTTCGGTATATACTGATCCCAATCCCTTAATCCCTAATACCGATTTACAATTGAAATTCAATATCAATCCCAAAAATAATATGTTTATTCTGTAATACCAAATATATACAAATTCGATACGATATTCATTATATCCCAAATACCGGTATCAAACTTCCAGGAGCGGTCCAATGAACAATACCATAAATGCCGTCGGTGGCCTGCAGGCCGATTACCACCGGAATATCGGTGGTCGCCGGTAATACTACAGAATTACCATTTAATACCCAAAAATGGAAAATTGCGTAAAAAGGGGAAAAGTAGGGAGTGTTATTTACGGCGGCCGTCGATGAAACCGATTGCTTCCCTATGGCATATTGCTTCCCTCCGAAACCGATTGCTTTGGTTCGCTGGTTTCCTCCAATGGCTGCCTTTTAGCCAAAGGTCTTTTCATGTGAAATAATTCCCATCCCATGTTCCATGGTGGCACGAAATTATCGACTCGATCCGTCCCTCTCACCGAATCGAACCATTTCCAATCATTGTTTCCGATCGAGAACGAGGCAGCCGCAATTCCTCGATCGATCCGAATTCCAAACCTACCGATGAAGATCGTCAACCCCTAAAGGTCAGAAATTTGAGGTTTGTTCTTACCCCACCATCCCTTTACCCTTCTGCTGGTTCAATTTGGTCGCTTCGTGAATAGTACTGTTCGGCATGATCCAAATTTCCCAGTTTGATTAAGAAGTCTTCTCTTGTTTTTCTGGCCCTCTTATAACCCCTTTCTGATTTTGTTTTTCATTTCTAGGTGTATTTGAATTGGTAAGGGTAGAAGGATTTTCAATGGATTATTTGCCGGACCAATTAGTATGGGAAATTTTGAGCAGAATCAAGAAAACTGTACACAGAAACTCTATCTCCTTGTCATGTAAGCGGCTCTACGATCTGGACAATGAACAGAGGCAGTCTCTTCGAGTTGGTTGCGGGTTAGATCCCGCGAATGAAGCCCTGACTTCACTCTGCAACAGGTTTCCCAATTTGCAAAAAGTGGAAATTACATATTCTGGTTGGATGTCCAAGCTAGGGAAGCAGTTAGATGATCAAGGGCTTGCGATTCTGGCTAACAATTGCCCTTTATTGACCGACCTCACCTTAAGTTACTGCACGTTTATCACAGATGTTGGTCTTCGTAGTTTAGCTACGTGCTCCAAGCTTTCTGCTTTAAAATTGAACTTCACACCGAGGATAACTGGTTGTGGTGTCTTATCTCTTGTAGTAGGTTGCAAGAATCTCACCATTCTCTGCCTCATTCGGTGTCTCAATGTAACCAGTGTTGAGTGGTTGGAATACCTAGGAAGGCTCGAGTCGCTTGAAGAGCTCTCTATTAAGAACTGTAGGGCTATTGGAGAGGGTGATTTGATGAAGCTCGGAGCTAGCTGGAGAAAACTGAAAAAGTTGCAGTTTGAAGTGGATGCCAATTACAGGTACATGAAGGTTTATGACAGGTTAGCTGTTGATCAGTGGCAGAAGCAATCTGTGCCTTGTGAATCAATGCTAGAGCTTAGCTTGGTGAATTGCATAATCAGCCCAGGGAGAGGACTAGCTTGTGTTCTAGGTAAATGCAAGAACTTGGAGAAGATTCATTTGGACATGTGTGTTGGTGTAAGAGATTCAGATATCATAACCCTAGCAAAGAACTCCAGTAATCTCCATTCACTCTCACTTCGAGTTCCTTCAGATTTCTCATTGCCACTTCTGATGGGAAATCCGTTGAGATTAACGGACGAGAGTTTGAAGGCCGTTGCAGAGCACTGTAGATTGCTGGAGTCGATACGGATATGTTTTTCTGATGGAGAGTTTCCTTCGTTCTCATCGTTCACCTTGGAAGGAATCCTGATTTTGATTCAGATGTGCCCTATCCGGGAGCTTGCTCTTGACCATGTCCACTGCTTTAATGATGCTGGGATGGAAGGGCTTTGTTTGGCGCAGTCGCTTGAAGCTTTGGAGCTAGTTGGATGCCACGAGGTCACCGACGAAGGGCTGCAGCTCGTGGCTCAGTTTCCCGGTCTGAAGACGCTCCGGTTGAAGAAGTGTTTGGGGATTACGAATGATGGACTGGAGCCTCTTGTTGGGTCGTACAAGCTGGAACTGTTGGCTGTGGAAGATTGCCCTCAGATTTCCGAGAGGGCCGTTCATGGAGCTGCGAAAACTGTCTCTTTCAGGCAAGACTTGTCTTGGATGTACTGAATCTGGTAGTCGTCTGGTAACCTTGCTTGGCATTCAACTGCCTAATAAATGCAATGAATTGGTTTCTATGATTCCCATATGTATTTTGTTCTATTGGTTTGCTTACTCCCTTGATGTGTTGTATCATATGGTTAAAGGGCAGGTAGTGGTTGAACTATTTAATTGTCTGTTCAGTGTACATGTGACATTCTGATAAAATGTATAATGGTTGATTAATTGATTCTATTACACGCCTTGAAAGTTATTTGATGAATTATTGTCCTCTTGGCATGGAACTTGTAGAATATATGGATTTCAGGGTGTTAAAGTTTATGTATTGTCACCAAGCAAGGAAGACAGAAGAACTCTGGGAAATTCCTGGAAAATATGTATAGTCGAACATAATGAATGTTCATACACCAAATCCCTTAAGATGATCATCTAAGACAAGTAGCAATGTTATGATTAGGGCTGTTTATGATCTGAGTGGAGCCGACTTTTGTCATGGTTTAGGTTTGGCTCGTTAAAATAATTGCAAATTCGAGCTCAGTTTGAGTTCCACACTTATTTTAACAGACAAGTTGGAGCTCGACTTGTTTACAATAATAGAAGTTTGAGCTTGCTAAATGAGATCAATGAGCGAAAATCGAGTTCAACAGATAAAATGTTGATTGTACTTTGAACTCGAACTCGGCTCACAAGACACCAACAAAAAACACTTAAAAGCTTTCAAATTTGTTCGCGAGCTTATCAAGCTGAACATGTCATGATTCGAGCTCAACTCTTTTATATACGAGCTTATTCGTAAATCGACTCAATTAAAGACGAGTCGAATATGAAACGAGTATTTCTCAGATCGTCCGATTTCATTAACATAACAACCATAGTTATGATTACTTTGCACTTAGTAGACGAAGGAAAAAAGCAGCCCGAAACACAACCGAATAAGGAATAACAAAGCTCGGTCCGAACCGCACAACCGTTGCCCCTGTCCCCTGACTAGCTATCTGCTACTAGCACAACTGAGGCTGAGGAATAGAAGAACAAAGAAAGAAGGCGGGGAAAATGCAGAGCGCGTACACCTCTTGGGTGCCCCTAGTTTCTCCCTCTCCACCTCTTAAACTTCCTATTACGAAGGTCAAGCTAGCGACAGTCCAGAGAAATTCAAATTACGCCCGTGATAGAGATGACGGCGACGGTGGCGGTACTAACACCAGCGGTGATTCACCGACGGTGGAGAATTTCACACTTCCAGCCCATGTCAAATCCATAACGAGCACTTCAAACCCATTTGTCAGGCACTGCGTCAAGCTCAGCCGCAGCTCTCCTTACCGCCACTCCCATGGCTCGACTCTCGTCGTGGGCACTACCCCTATCAGGTACTGTCATCTTCTTGGCTTCGTTAGGTGAACTTTTCATTTCTTCTATATGAATTTGGACTTGGGTTTCCTTCTTTTGTCCTATCTCCGCAAATGTGGAGCTTGTTTCATCCGTTGCTTGTTATGCGTATATGGTGTTCGACGTAAGTCCTGAATGACGCTTTAGGTGTGTACAGGGAGATTTCCAAGTTCCAAGAATCCCTGCCGGAAAGGACCACCCATGTGGATTATCTGTTTCTTCTAGATAATGTCGATGTCCCAGCTGGCCTTGAAAGTTCTTCCCCTGCTCGGACTCTGCGAGTGAGCTCTTTGGTCATGAAGAAGCTCTCACAAGTGCAATCTACCGAATCCATTGAAGCTATTGCCTTGATGAGATTCCCCACCAGCTACTTTGTTGCGGTTGATGGCCCAACTGCTGTTGATTGCAGCAAGTGGTTCCCATCTCCCCATCGAATTCTCGTCCTTGAAGGGATCCAGGTTACAATCTAGTTAGTTTCGCCTCTACTTTATTGGTTGCCCCGAATGTGTAAACCCATGGTAGTCAACTCACAAGAGTTGTTTTCTCTTTTCTGCAGGATCCAGGCAATCTAGGCACATTACTCAGATCAGCAGTGGCTTTCAAATGGGTAAGCAGTGTGAAAGCTTCTCCCTTTCTTATTTCAAAGCTCTTGACTCTCACATAAAACCCCATCTATGTTCTTAAACAGGGCGGAGTTTTCCTGCTTCCTGGGTGTTGTGATCCATTCAACGGCAAAGCACTCCGAGCTAGCCGGGGAGCTTCCTTCCAAGTTCCTATAGTGTCTGGCGCCTGGCATCACCTTCAAGCCCTGATAAATGAATTCGACATGAGATTGCTAGCCGGCCACCCTGATATCATTGATGGATCAAGATCGGTATCTCGTTTATCTCCAGGACTTGCTGATTCCCTATCTGATACTCCGCTGTGCTTGGTTTTGGGCAACGAGGCACAAGGCCTTACGGAGGAATCTCAAAGAGCATGCGAGCTCGTGAGCATACCAATGGCTAGAGACTTCGAGTCCCTCAACGTTGCAGTTGCAGGGGGCATATTCCTCTACATGCTGCAACCACATCTATAATGTATAACATAATGGGAGTGTGTAATTCATGAAAGTTTGCTACTTTGCTAGTCAATCCGATTGTTTATTCGGTTAGAAGTGTTACATATGGATATGGGACCTTTCTCCTCCCTTTGAATATCGAACAGACAAATGAAGTTCCATGGTGCCGTAAGAATACAACAGAAACACAAAAATTGCAGATTATTTTAACCTTCTAATAATTACCCAAGAAGTAGGGGATGCGAAAATAGGAATGGTTGAATTTCAGTTATCGCTGACCACCACCGACACTGAAAGAAGATAAGCCGACGACGCCGGGGCTCTTGAGCTGATCGAGCTGCTTCTTGCCGCGGTTGAGCAAGTACTCGATGTAGACGAAGTTCTTCCGATCCACTTGGTTGGAATTGCGCCGGAACTCTGCGGAGACGACGGCTTCGATCTGTTTCCGATCGTCGGGAGATTTCAAGCGAGCCGCGCGGAGAAAGCCTCGGTAGAGGCTGAGAACTTGCTTCTGCATTCCGGAGAGCCTGGGTGGTGCCATCGCATCTTCTGCCTGCATTTCGCAACCGGAAACGGCGTCTTCAAATTTTAGAATTCGAGAGAAGCAGTAGTAGATGGTTAAATCGATATATATATAAAGCGTTCACCTGGGAAAGGCGAGGAGAGAGGGAAACGACGACGGCGTAAAGGATTGGCGGAGGAGGCTGCGACGGCGCGTCACGGAGGAAGCAGAAGGTTGAGCGGATCGTGGTCAGTGACGGTTGCGGGATCGGGAATAGGGATTAGGGAGGGAAAGTGTAGGAGCCGGGAAGGGGCGGCGGGAGACGTGTGAGAGGATTGCATTTGGGCCCGAGGCATAAGACCGGTCTCTTACGTCTGAGCCTGATGCTGCTTTTGGGCTTGCTAATCTACTCGTTTCGTTGGACAATACTAACATTAGTGGGCTATTGATGTGACAGGCCCACTATAACTCTTGTCTTCACGATTCACTGACATTCACCTCTAAAAAAGAGTGGGAAAGAGAAGAAAAGAAAGAAGGGGAAATCGTCTTCCTCTTCCAGGCTCCCGGCTGATTAATTAATTAATTATGCATTTTCCCATCCAGTTATTGGATTCCCTGAGCAATATATCACACGCAACGACGACGACATCATCATCTCCTGGATCTCTTCCGAGAGGCAATCCCACCTCTGGTTGATCAGTGATCGCAGCTTCACTTCACGCTCCACCAACGCCGCAGCCAGCGCCGGCGAATTCGCCGCCAACAGCGATCCCTATCCGGCTTGGCACAACTTCTCCCCTTCGATGTCGGCCAGCAAGTTTCAGCAGCAATCGATGCTCACTCTCAGAGGCTCCCTCCTCTCTCTCGCAATCCTAACCTTCGTCTCCCTCACTTACCTCTCCCTCAACTCTCTCCACTCCTCGTTCTCCTCCTCCGCGCAGTCCTCTCCCGCCGCAATCTCAGCCTCCGAGAAGCAGATTATTCAGCCGCTAAGAGAGACAGAGGCTTCGGCGGGGCAAGAAGAGAGCGGAAATGCGAAGGAGGACGAGGAGGCAGGGAGGAGCGATGGCGACGACGAGATTACGGATCTATACCATTACCCGGAGGTATTCAAGTTGAATTACGCGGCGATGGAGGAGAATTTCAAGGTTTATATCTACCCGGACGGTGATCCGAAAACGTTTTATCAGACTCCGAGGAAATTGACGGGGAAGTACGCGAGCGAGGGCTACTTCTTCCAGAACATTAGAGAGAGTAAGTTCAGAACTGAGGATCCGGATCAGGCTCACCTATTCTTCATCCCGATTTCATGTCATAAGATGCGAGGCAAGGTAAGCAGAAAGCTCTTTACGGGAAAATTCAGCTCCGAAATGGATGTGTTCCTCAATTTTCTGTTCTTTTGCTTTGCATGTTAGTCTTGGTTTGCTACTATTTCTCTTGTTGAAGTGGAAGAGCTTGATGTAGTGTATTGGCATCTGTTAGTCACAACTTGCAATCTAATGTAGGGAAGAATCTATTAATTTCATTATGATCAATGTTACCTCTCTGCACCAGAGCTGCTCAGTTATCATGCTGAAACTTCAATGAGTTGTATGATATCTTAGGAATGTTGAAGGTAACTGAAGAATCCATTTCCTGTATAGGGTGGTGTTATAGTATGCTCCTTGCCTTTCTTGGAATAGATTTAGTTCATTATATAAATTTCTACGTTGTAAAACTTGCTTCGGTTAGTCAAGGCATGGTTTAGAATTGGTTGCTAATGCAACCCTACTTCGGTCATGCTGTTACGGTTGCTATGATTCATTTTCTTGCTGACTTCTGAAAGTTGGGAGACATACTAAATGAACACTGCCGCTTGGGACGAATCCTTATTGCATGTAGATTTTCCACATTTGAACCGCAAACCGTTAGACTTGTGAATTAGGTGACTATTATGCAATGTTCACAGAATAGCATCCTGTTCTGGACGCTCTGTGTGAGGATGAGGATTCACAATGATTGTTGCTTGCTTAACATCTGACTCGCGCGGTGCATGGTGATGTATTTTATCAGATTATGATGCAGTCATTTATAGTGATGGTGTTATACCTTATCATTTGATATTTATCCTGTCAAAAGTTTATCCTGTGGTAATTGTGTTTCAATTTGCGATGGTTTTGCAGGGTACTTCATATGAAAACATGACCATAATTGTTCAAAATTATTTGGACGGCTTGATAGCCAAGTATCCTTACTGGAACAGGACTCTTGGCGCAGATCACTTCTTTGTCACATGTCATGATGTTGGTGTAAGAGCAACTGAAGGTGTTCCATTTCTTGTGAAAAATGCAATTCGAGCAGTTTGCTCCCCAAGTTATGACGTTGGATTCATTCCACACAAAGATGTTGCACTTCCTCAAATTCTGCAGCCATTTGCCCTTCCAGCTGGAGGAAATGATGCAGAGAACAGGTAACTCTTAGAAATCAGCTAGTTTTGCTTATGTAATTTGGAAATTTGTATATGAATTACACCACTACACCGTTATTGGTATTCATTACAGATTTGGGTATCCCAAATCCAATGTCGTTTAACCTACAGAGCTTTTACATACCCAAATAAAAAGTTTAACCAGCATTTGGATTGGACTCTTATTTCCTATGTTTATTTCAATGAAAGTATCAGTCAGGCTAAAAATGCAATCAAATATTTCTCCGTAGTGATTGTCGACATTGTTCCCTAACCAGAACCATGGTTTGCAGGACTACTCTCGGCTTCTGGGCTGGCCATAGGAACTCCAGAATTAGAGTTATACTGGCACGTGTTTGGGAAAATGATACAGAGCTCGATATTTCGAACAACAGAATAAGTAGGGCCACAGGGCATCTCGTGTATCAGAAAAGATTTTACAAGACTAAATTTTGCATATGCCCAGGAGGTTCTCAGGTCAACAGTGCTCGAATAACAGACTCAATCCACTATGGTTGTGTTCCTGGTAAGTCCTTTCACACGACTTTTTCCACTTATATGTTGCTGACAGCCTAGTACATTTGCATTGCTGTTGGTGTAGCTTCGGCACTTTACTCTTTGAGCACCATAACTAACCATATAACTATGAGAGGGAAGAGAACCAGCTAGATTTATCAGTCGCTGAAGATTTCTATTACTTTTGTACCGTGGCATGAAAACCATGAACGAAACCTCGCATGTACCAAATCTTTTAATATAACTTGGGAAGCAACTGAGTGCGAAATAGTTTCTTGAATGATTCCACATATCTTGTAGCCAATGAAATTGGACAGCTACTTGTTCCCTATATTTTGGTTTGTACGATATTGAAATCATCCTGAATTCAGTTTGTCGTAATTGCATTATACAGTGATATTATCCAACTACTATGACCTGCCATTCAACGACATCATTGACTGGAACAAATTCGCTGTTGTACTGAAAGAGAGAGATGTGTATCAGCTGAAGCAGATCCTCAAGGACATACCACATGAGAAGTTCCTCGAGTTGAATAAGAATGTAGCCAAGGTAGGAAAGCGTTTTCCCCAATTTTTTGCCACTCATCTTTCTAACACTGCTTTAGGGCTGCAGCTACTAAATATACTGGTGTGTGATTGGTAATTGTACAGGTACAGAAGCACTTCCAGTGGAATTCACCACCGGTCAAGTACGATGCATTCCACATGGTGATGTATGATTTGTGGCTGCGTCGTCATGTCATCCGATACTGAATGTTGAAACGAGAATAGCTTGTAAATTTTCACGTCCCTGGTCGCGTCTGTTGCTCACTATTATTTGATTTGTTCTTTAGACTTTTACACATTCGAATACCTTCCACAGTTCATCTAGGCTGTAGATCCTTTGCTGTGTTGTTTTTCTCCCCCCTATCGTTTCGAGCTGTAGCAAGGTTGTAACATGAAAAAGAGATAGTAGACAGGGTGGGAGAGATTGGTTCTTGGACATCTTATAGGAATTTCGGAGCATCTGTGTCACTGTTGACCTCTTGGCTTCTTGTTGTTCAGAGGAGTAAGCTTTGGTTCTTGAACTCATCAGAAAGAGCTTCCCAAATCTTGAGCTCCTAGTGGGATTAGAGGCTTGGGAAGAATTGGCATTTTACTGTTAGATCAATTTTCATAGTTGTTTGTAAAACGGAGATTTTATGAACTAGTTAAAAACTTGAAAGCGTAAGAACTGCAGCTGACGGGTACACTATCTGTTAGAACCATGAGGAGTCTATAAGTACTGTTTACCATTGACAGCATGCGACTTTAACTTGGACGTCTTCTGGTCAGCTTCCAACTCTCATTTCTCCCAAGTTCTTTTTTGCGGAGTGGTTCTTCAATCTCTAACAGATACGGATGGCCACATTAGGAAAATTGTCTGTTATTTACGGAATATTTGGATTGCTCGGAATGGATTTGTTTTCGAATCCAAGGTTCCTTCCCCAACCATTGAGGCAATGATGGTTTAACTAGTGATTTCCTTTGTATCGAAGAAGGTAGGAAAAATTCAAAGTACACATGTTTGACACTCAGCGCCGTAGCCTAACACAGTGAATATAATCACTGCCGAAGATAACAGGTGAAGCAATCCCTGTTTTAATCAAACGCGGGGAAGTAACCACCGCTTTCGTTTATAGCAGGGAACATTTCACCGCATCGAATTGCTACGGTGAAGGATTGGGAGACGCGGATCACTGATGTGGACGAACGCGGGGAATTCACTGTCGTGGACAAACGCGGAGATCACCTTGTTGTCCACATCAGCGATCCGCGTCACCCCGCCCCTACACCGCTGTCGTTGGATCCAGTGAGGCGTGGATTCTGGTTTTCCTCCCAGATCCGACGCCTCACAGCCTCCCACGTCAGTGATCTTGGTCGTTCACCGCGTTCGAGAAAAGCGGGGTCTTCCCTACGTCTGACAAACGAGGTGATTGCTCTGTGTTATTTTCCAGCAGTCCCCTTCCCCTATAAATACCACTCTTCTTCCTCATTCCAAATCACACCACCACACTACTCTTCTTTCTCCCTCCATCCCTCCGCTTTAATTTCGTTCTAAGTATGCCCTGTGGTTATGGCTAAGTCCGATCTTCCACATCAAAAAGGATTTCTAGAGTTATATCATAAAGTCCTCCCCACTAAAAACCCGTCGAACCTCTGTCCGGCTTCGCCAAAAAATGGACGAAGAGGCTCTTCGGGTACGCTCTTGGTTTTCCTTTTGTGATGTATTTTTTTTGAAATCGAAACAATCTGATTTCATTCAATTTTTTTTATAGATAGGTGCCGAGATATACAATCCTCGACTGTATATCAATTATGGGCCAAGAGAAGTTTTTATGCGAGC